TTATCAATGAGCATTGTTCTTCATAATAAACTAAAATGGCAAACATCTTCATATGTGTCCATCTATACCTTTAGGTTATGATCAAACCTTATAGTGCTCCATTCTACAATGACTGAATAAACCACAGTTTGAATTCATAAGGCGTCAATCTTTACCTCTCTTGATCTCAGTTTCACACTGCCGTGCACACACTCTCTCGCCACAGAGGCACTCGGGTAAGCGGTGACTGATCACGCTGAGAGCGCCTCACTGGGATGTTCGGAACAATTACCTCTGCCTCGCTGCCACTCAGGACCCCTCAGGTGAAGTCATTATCTTAACCAGAGGCTGCTCACTACAGTCACAATTAATTCACATTAACAGTTGAGCCTGGACCACCAGGGCTGTCTGGATGCATGGCTCCAATTATACTCATTAGTGGACAAGGTCCTCGAAATTGGGACTTTTCATTGAGGCACTTTAGGGACGTTTTAATGCTAGATGTATGTTGCGGAAGAAGTATTCAGATCCTTTGCTTAAGCAAACTATTGACTCGACGACAAGTGAAAGTCCCTGTCATTGTTTTCTTGGATGTTTTTGGATTAAATGTTGTAGATGTTTAAGGTTGAGTTAATTTGAACTACTTTTCTATATTGTTAGGTAGTTTAATGCATCATATTCTACAAGATCATCATATGTTTGTAGTGTGCCGCCATCTCAAAAACTACCTTACATCTCTGCTCTCATTTAAATCTAGTAAGGAAAATACACGTTCCGGTAACTACTTAACCTAAGACATCACTCAAGTTCTCACTAATGTTGGCAGAACTGGTTTCAGGTACTAGTCACCGTTTAAATAAACTTCCCTCAAATTAAAGTCAGTTTTTTTGCAATTCATGTAACTGTTTTAATTCCTAGTTGTGTAATTGTGTTGTTTCTGTGAATGTTTCTTGTTCTCAGGTCTCTCTTGGAACAGAGATCTTAATCTCAATGAAACTGCCTCCTTAAATAAAGATTAAAGACACAAGCATAAATAAATAATCCAAGAAGGTACACATAGTTTATTTATCTTAACCCATAAAAGGAAGCCTTAATCCTCCAGTTCATCACAAACATCTACATCCAAAATTACCACATTTGTAGATACGTGGTTTTCACTGGACAGGAAGGGAGTGAAAAATTGTAATCTAAAGCTGTCAGACAAATGTAGCAGAGTAAAAGATGTAGATGTAGTGGAGTATAGAGAAATTTCCCAGTGGTTGTGACCCAAACCGCTGACTTTATTTGACAATGTGGTCGTTCATTTTCTCGTGTTCAGTTATTTAATAGCTGCACAGAATATTTGGCACTGATGGGTTTTCTTTCTCTCTTCCATCTTACCTAATTCTATTTTTTGATGGAAACCAGCTTTTCTGTTCCATTTTCTCTTGTGATGCTTGTGTGTTCATATCAAAAATATTACAAGTAAAGGATGTACTGAATGCATCAGGAAATATTGCTGCCTTGCTTTGCTTTTAATTTTCTTCTATGGCTTTTTAGTTTGGACTAATTTTTCCTTTTACTGTACGTTCAATTCGAAATGGCAAGTCTGACCTCTGGACACTGTAATCATTATAATCAATGTGCCGTCTGCAGTCATATCTCTCTGATTAAAGGCTGTGCAGTGGGGATGGTATCAGCGAGGGTTAGCTGAAGCTTGCACTAGCTATTAAGTGTTTTTCACTTAATCGGATGCATGTGTTCCCTGCGGTTTCCTCAGTTTTGAAAGGAAAAAGAACATTTACAAGAACATTTACCATCAATATTAATCAAAAGTGTTTGGCTGTCAAGAGAGAATATATGAATTTGTACCACACATGCTCTTCCCGTCCACACCCAGACAAAAAGGTGTGCTTTTCATCTAATGGATTCTCTTTTGGATGAACTAATCAATAACTGGCCATGGTTTCACTCCTACCAGGAGATGGGAATGAAACATGTTATATAATTCATGGCATTTGATTTATTTATTTTTTTTTAATCCACAGTTCCAATCACCTACTGCTTTTCTTTCACCCATGGCTCTCAAATATTTCTCCTGCAGAAACAAGATCTGCATTTGAATACAGTGAAGACATGAATTATTCATTTATAGCGTAGTAGAACGTGCATAAGCAGATATTGCAGGTATCACCCTGTATATTTCCTGTTTTCATGGGAGAAATCACCTCATCTCACCAGTTCTACTCCTCTGACCAGAGATCACTCCAGTGCAGAAATCCACAATTCAGTTGTGTTGTCTTTGATTGAGCTGTTGTCATGGTTACCTGGATGTTCGATAGATACCCGGGCTGGACCAGAGAGACTCTCCCCAGTTCTCACAGAGCTATAATTAAACACAATTTAGAGCAAACCGCAGCGTTAATCTCTCTCGGTGGTGGCAGGCGCAGGTTGTGGATATGGCAGGCATGTGGAGAGTGTGTGTCAGCCAACTTGACAAACTCTCATTGTGATCCTCTGGAGAATAGGACGATGGCGTGCATACGATGAATGGCGTGATCAGCCAAAAACAGTGGCATTAATTGTTATTTTAAGGGAGAGTTAAATCATTCAAATGTACTGTTTTCCTTCACGTCTGGTTTGTGTGCATGCATGCATGCATGCAGGTCTCATACATTATGTCAAATAAGATTAGCTAAACATTAATCTGGCAAATTTAAATAACTCTGAGTAGAAGGAGCACATGAATGTCATGAGTGAGACTAAAATGTTTGGTTTTTTTTTTTCAATTATGATTAGAGTCACATTGCAAACATTTCAGAAGATAAATAACTTGTTCAGATAATCCCCAGAAGAGGGAGAAAAAAATAAGACAATAACTTGCTCATTTGTTCGATGCGACCTTCCCCGTATAACTGGAGACAAATCTCATGAGAGGAGAGAAGACGAGACAGGAACACATAATCCCAGATAAAGTCACAAGGCCTCAGCGACTTTATTAGAATCCTGAAGTACATTTGACAGAAATCAACGGCATACAAACCCAAACAAACAAGCCTGGAAAGATGGTGGTATTAAGCTACTCGCACTTTATCGTCTATCTCCACTGACTGAACACGGGATGACCTATTCTTAAACCCTCGCCCACGCACATATCAGGAACTGTGAATGAAGCTTCCTTTAAGGGACTTGTCTTCTTCTTCAGTATCAAAGGTTTTTTTTTTGCCAAGGTTATGAAAGGAGATAATGAGGCACAACATCAGCTGGGTGGCTATTAATAAAAGGCAAGGATAAGATGCACCATTGGTGGTTGCATAAGAGTGGATAGGTGTTGGGTTATGTAACACCTGTTGTGCAGCACCTGCTGTGATGGACACACATCGTGCGAAAATCCGGTTTTCACTCAGAAAAGCCCCATAAGTGCTTTAACAGTGACAAACTGAGTTGTGGTTGATTGATTGAAGCTTTATTTTCTGTTCCCTACCTCACATATATTGAGTCTGGAGTGTGACTGAATGATTATAGCCTTATTGTGTCAAGAGGTTTTGTGGTGTTATTATTGTACATCATGTTACATCGGCCTTTTCCCCTAAAAGACATTTGTAAAAGCACAAGAGGTCCTTGTTATACGGAGGCCCTGAAAATGCTGTAATTTTTTTGGCCAGTCTCGCAAATAAATACCAAAAAAGTCTCAAGGCGTCCAACCCGCACACAGTCAGTAAAACAACCTGACAAAGGACACACTAGACGAAAACCAAAACCCTGCCTCGCCTCTGGCTCAGACCTCTTGCAGGATGGGCAATGATCCTATCTGGCTGTCTGCACCCTCTTTATGGGTGAGCTGCAGAGATAGCGTGCCTATAGGGAGAAGCAGCTCATCAGCACATCACCTGGGACAAAAGGCCAAAGCAGGAGGAAGGGATAACGCTGTTGTGTAATCACAGCTAACAGAGACACGGCTCGGTTTTGGCCTGTCTCCTTTTTATCGGACTGGATTATCAGACTTGGTGTAATGGTTTGGGAGAATGGACAGGGCAGGGATGTAAAAGCCAGTGATCTGGGTTGTCAGGCTCTTCTTTATTTCAGACTTTTAGAGGAGCAGAGGTTTGAGAAGTAGAGGGACAGAAATAACGAGGACAGGAAGGAAAAGTACCGACGCTGCGAGAGAAACAACTTCTGGAAGAATGCAGATTGGATAACTCTCCAACTTTTATACTGATTTGAAAGCATCCTTCAAGGGACCAACTCTAGCAGTCCTATTTATATATTTTGGCAGATTCTGTCGTCCTCACAAGTGTTAGCTACTGTATCCGAGCAAAAACAGTGTCTTCTATCATTAATTTGATTAACAAATCCGTTTTCTGTCTATTGAGCAGACGCAACCATCTTTCTTTCCATCGGATCAGAAAAAGTTGACATTCAAACTAACGTTTAACAAAATCAAGTTGCACCATGAGACCTTAAGAAATGTCTTAGCTAGTAACAACTTTACTTACTGTATGTGCATTATTTGACTTGGAAAGATTTGTAGTGTTTACCAAAAGCCATCAATGTAGAATAACGAGCTTGAACAAAGCTAACAAACAATAATAATTTTAGGAGGCTTGGCAGTCCTTCATAAATGTAGGACTGCTTTATTTACAGATGCATAAATGAAGAAATATGTGCATCAGTCTTAGTTATGTTCAGTCTAGAGCGAGTGGGAGAAAAAAAATCTCATTACAGTTACCTAACTGACATTTCGGTCATTCAGTCATTACCAGCGTAGTGTTCTGTAATTTGAGTTCTAATGTGTTATTTTTATATTATTTTCAAATGTAATTTAAAATCTTTCCAGTTTACATTTTAATCAAATGCCACATCAGATGTGTCCCATTACCTCCTACACTTACAAATTGGATGTTCTGTGTATGTATTATGTGTTTCTGTGTATCTGCGGTGCTTTCTGAAACTGTACTTTCAGTGGAGCAGAGTTGCGCTAGTTGCAAAGAACATGTTACGTTAAACAGAGGAACCCAAAAGCAGATCACAAACTCGGTTGGTACGATTCTAAAAGACAGGCTTTATTAGAAATCCGGAAAAATTTAATGGTTAGGTCTAGCTCCTGCTAGCAGTGGTGAAATGGCTAGACCCCAGGCAGAGTGGAACCGGAAGATACGGCAGCGTGGCAGGCAGGAAGCAGCGGGCAGGTAGCTACAGCGAAGGGTATGATCCTGAGACACGGGGAAAAACAAGGTTAAAGTTCGTAGCAAAAAACACTTCTCTTAAATACTCCAACTTGGCCTAGAAGGTTACCACCAGGTTTGTAGATGCAACGATCTGGCGGAGAGTGGATGGAGAACTGGGGTTTAAATAGGGCTGATGAGTTGCTGGCTGGCAGGTTTGAGCAGATAGACAGGTGAGCAGGTAATCAAGGAGAGTGTGAGGAGTCCAAACACGCAGACACAGGGAAACCAAGGAGAAGAATTCTACTGACTATAACAGTAACATTCATAGCTGCAATCTCATTTAGGCCTACTTGCTTTATGCCAGCACATCACATATAATAATCAGTTAATAACATTCATCAATAATAGTCTAATTTTACACATGATCCATGATGATAAAGACATGCAAAACTTGAAATGCATGGCATAAATATTGTCAGTATTTTAGAGACCCTCCAAAATTTCACAAATCATGTTTTATTCAGAGAAGACAAGCTCTTCCTGGCTCCCCTGTAGTTTGCACCCTGTGTAATAGGTAGGTGTGGCAAAATCACAGCTGGCTGAGATCAAGTGATTGTGAATGGTTGGCTTTATGTGCGCTGTCAAGTCAAAAACACCAACGAAACATTTCATGAAATCTTAGTGTACAAATGTATCTGTCAAGTTAAAGGTATGGAGTGTTTGACTAATAGTGGCTCAATAGAGAACTGGTTTGATGTCATACACTGCCCTAATGACAGTTTTACATTATTACTCTAATAAATTGGTTATAGCTTTGAAAATACACTGAATGTACACATCAGGGACTGATCCAGGAAGTTGTGATCACAACAATTAACGCAAATTCAACCAATCCCTGTGAATTCTGCACGACCTTGCATTTTTGTCCTATTGCCGCAACTTTTACACAAATTTGACCAATTATCGTAGTTTCCTGCAGAAAAAACATATAGCCATACGTCACCACATTTACTGCCTTGTTTTTAGTTATGAAGGTGCAGACATGTGCAGCACAAATGTCTCACATTTACCCTCCAAACTGTGTGGTTTTATTCTCACTGGAACAAGCTGTCTTCGATTTTTTATGAATTATACAAAATAATAATAATAATCACAACTATACTTTTCACTGTCTCCTGTAATGTCATTGCAGAGGGCAATAAGTTGTGAGTTGAATGATTTATAATAGTTTTTTATTTCCAAACTGCACTGGGTATGTCTTGTACCACTCTTTTCCCACAATGTAAAGCAATGTGCTGTTTCACAAAAAGGTGCAGTGAAAAGTAAATCATAGTAATCGAGGGTTTTCCTGTGATATATAATTTCTAACTCGCAAAGTTACAAAAGGAACGATGTATTAAGATCAATGGCCACCTCCACTGTTGTGTGCAAATGGCAGGTTGTGAAATATCAGTACAGCCCACAAACCTTCAGGTTCGATCACCCTGTAACCATTACAGAGTCCCATTATACTTTTGAGAGCAGCTCTTTCTGCTCATTAATGTGAACAGTGGATTGGCCCGACCGCATGAGTAGAAAGTCCACCTGTGGGAAAATTACCCCCTGGAAATCAAATGGATTCACCTCAATTCAAACAGGTCACATTTAGAGCCAGATTGTAGTTTCTAAGAGACACAGTGTAACTGTGAATGTGAAGAGGCAGATCTGTGCTTGTTTGCTAATGAATTAATGGCAGCCGAGGCTCCTCTGAGGCTCCTGTCGAGAGGATGAGCACTTGAGAAATGTTTCTAACACTGTGGTAACACACGTGGCTGAAGAGAGGCTTCACAGACCGAAGGTTCCCGTTTTCACCTGACTGTCATTTCATTTATTGCTCACTTGAAACTGAATAAACCACTAGAAAACACTACACATCCTAGTGAATGAAGTCAGGTTATAAAGTCGATTGACAGCTGGATTGACAGGTGGATGATGAAATGCTGTTTAACTCAACTGGGCCATAAATCTCAAACTCATTTCCTTTCTTGGAAATAATCCATTACAGTAAAAAAAAAAAACTTGACTTGAGCAAAAGGTTTGTCTTGAACATAAGCTGTGTTGTCCTCCAGATTGTTCTGTCTGTCTGGGTCTGAATACAACTGTCACTCTGACTCTCCGACTGAATGCTTTCTTTGAATTTGCCTCAATTCAGCAAAGTGCTCCTCGTCTAAAACCTCTGAAGCATTTCTGTGTGGCATAACAAAATGATGGATTCAAAATGGCCTTTCTGATTACTTTTCTGCCATCAGTAGGGCTAATGCTAGCAGTTTTACACACTGCTACACACAGTATGTCATAAAAATGGAAGAAATTGCATTTGAGGGAAAGGCGTACCATTTGAAGCCTAGTCTGCATGTGTGAGAGATCGTGGCTTCTTGTCAGATAGGTATACAGAGCTATTCATTAAATATCTCATTAAATATTTTAATATGGCCTTGGGCAGGGATCCACGCAGGCCATTTACTCTCCTCATTAACCATTCAAAATGACAACGTCTTTGCTTTCTGGCCTCCATAGTTGGACCTAGAAATAACCATGTTCGTTGAAATATTCTCACATTTCAACATACAGCAAACACATATAGGCAGAACTTTACTTTTCCTGCCTGATTTTGAAAATAATTATCTTCGCTCCCTCAGACATCCGAAGAGTCATACCATCTGGAAGAGACAACGCAGTTCTATTAAAAAAAACCTGCATCAGGTTTCATTTCAAACATCTTGTTGCATTGACCCTGGTAAATTTAATTAGACCGTAAAGTCACTCTGCTTCCACACATAGATGGATTATTGCAAACATGTAACCGTCTACTTCTCTTGGCTGATGCTTCTGCTCTTTCTGATCCATTCCAGCGTGACGCTGGCTCATGCCCGCTGCACAGGCAAGGTTATAATAAAAAGTCTGCTGTCTATAAATCTCAAGGTCACAGTAGGCTTTGCTGCATGTACAGTATGAATGCTCTGAGACTTTTATCTTGCCCCCACTGAAAAAGCATGCCACATTTGTGTTGGTTGGTTTACTCACTTGTTGGTACGTGCGGACATGTTTGAGTAGCTTTCCATGAATTGTCAGTAGCTGCTGCTTGTAATCTTGACAGCATGCGTGCAACACACAACACTATAAGGTTATTATAGCTGTCATGCACTAGCTGTATCTCTTGGCCAAGTTGTTATTGTAAATGAGAATTGGTTCTCAGTTGACTTACCTGGTTAAAATAACAAAAATACATATAGCTGTTTTGAGCTATGTATTTACTTGTATGCAGCAGCCCAGGTTCACCCCCATTCATAATGGTCCTAAAAAGGTCTAAAAAGTCTTAAATTTAACCTGTTGAAACCTGCAGAAACCCTGTTATAGCACATGTTTTGCACTGTTGCATGTGGTAAATAGCTTTACTTCTGCAAATTAGCAGAGTCTGCTCAAGAGTTATTGCTTTGTTATTGTCTATATCTGCTGTCTGTTGGCTGCTGTTAATCAGGGCTCAAAGGAAGTTTTAACTTCACTCTAGTTTTAAGTTTCAGGGCTTTATTAGTAAAAACTGAGACAATTTGCACTGCAGTATTACAAAACCTTGAAAAGCAATCCACAACACAACTTTAAACTTTAAAGATATTCACACAATAAAACCCCCAAACACGCATGTATTTAAATCAATTAAATCAATGAGCACAGAGAAACTTTCCACTTTCAGCAGGCGAACATGAAAACATTCTTCTAGCGTCGAACATACATCATTCTGCACAGTGAAGCTCAAACATGCAGCAACAACAAGACATTTTTTTGGGGTGAAGTACTAGTACTAAATGCCACTTTAGTTCTAATAATAAATGACCAACACAGTGCATAGTACAAATGTTCCCAGAGTTTTAAAGAAAGTGAAGAATAAATACATAAATCTAATTCTTAAAGTGCCTCAAATGAAATAAAAGCTGCAGTTTAAATGGCTACATTAATGATTATGTCAAAAAGACAAGAGGCTCTGCACATCCTTTTTTCACAGGGAAACATTTGCAAGAGGACAATTGCAGGGTGAAAGTAATCTCTGCGCCTTCCTAATCATCCTGCTGGTGTGAGTAGAAGCGGTGAAGTTGACATCTGTGAGTTTGAATGCACTGAGCTTAATCCTCTGCAGTCACCCCACTCATTAAATATGTGGCCTTTGCTGTGTGTGTAGCACCACAGCTCATCTTCCCTGAAGCCCAATAAGCCCAATTTCATAAAGATGTAATAATTCTTCTGATGTAAGCGAAGGCGCCCTTCATTTCAGGCAAAGTATGAGCCTCCACTATGAAAAGCTGTGGAAAACCTGCCTTATAATGTGAAATAAAGTTTTTTTCTGAATTTGAATCTGAGGAATAATCTCCCTAAAAGGGAAAATTGTCTCCTTATGTGTGTATAATTCATCCCCATCTTCCTGGTTTTGGATCAGTGTCAAGCTGTAATTTCTACTTCATACCACTGCTGCATCATCTGTAGGTGGAAACATATTGACAGATTTAAAACAAAATGGCCTCGGCTAGCTTCTCTGTTCCACCAGAGTTCGGATAAACTAATTTGAACATGCCTGGTGAGCATACATATGAACAGTTTGGTGAGCTTGAACGGTAATTTGTTTATGTTCCTAAATATCCCACTGCCACCCCACCCCACCATCCCTTCCACTCTGTGCTTCATTACTCCACATCTCCCCTAACCTTTAAATACAGATGCATTTGCTCCCCTCCCGGCTAGCTGGGTGGTTCTCCTGCTGCCTTAAAGGTTAATAGATTTCCCGCCCCCCTTGTGCAGCGAAGCGCACCGGGATGGGAGTCATGATCATGTCGTATGTGCACCACATTTGTTCATTTGAGACGTACAGTGAAAGCAGTAGGACATGTGTTTGACAGGAATGTGATTGCGCCCTTCTCTTAGATTGACCTGTAAATGTTTTGTTGATCTTTTCAAAGATTTATGTAAACAATTTGACAGCATTCACACAAAAGACTGCACTCAAACGCACACAGACA